GTCGAAATATCTTGGGTGTATAATTTATTTTTGTTTCCTTCGACTACCGAACACACACGGTACCTCTGAAAAATTGCATAAAATTTGCAACAAAAAGATTGACTGTATCTTTTTGTTAAGTATTATTTTTATTTTTGGCCTGTTGGCCTGTCAACATGCTTTGCCTATGCATGTCTGAGAGGCTGTCCGTCAGCCAAAAAAAAGAAAATCAAAATAAAAGAGTTTTGTGTCGGCAGTATTTGTCAGAAATGTCGTACGATTGTCAGGCAGACGACACAAGTTGTGAGCCATCTTGTGAGGCATTGACAGAACCCCAAGAAGTAAGACTTTCAATAAAAAAAGGCACAATCAACTAAATGTCTAGCCTTAACTTTATGCAATACAATCAGCAGTTGGGGACGAAAATTCACCCGCATTTGCATAAAGGAAAGGTAAGCAAATGTAACGAGTGACAGACAAACGAGCCTACACCTGACCAACTCTTGAGCGACTGCCAGCGACACGCCTCCATATGTATATATACCTACATTTATATACATAGAAAAGAAAAAAAACTGGCCAGCTGACCGGCCATTCAATAGCCAAAAAGTTTACTTAGCCAACATTTGGCAGCGCCGCTGCGTTTCCCTCTTTATTCACGTTTTTTTCCCCTGCTAAACGTTTTCGAATTGACATTTTGACATTTTGGCATAGCAAATTTCGATTCAGTGCCCGGGGGCGGCAACGTCAGTGGCGTTTCGGCCTTCTCACTGTCCCGATGTCCTGGCCAGGAAGCTGCATATGGTGACAGCTGAACAAGCGCGTTGATGGGCGACAGCCTCGAGCAGAAAGGGAGCTGAAAACTCAGCCGAGGAACAGAAATCATTTGCATACGACACAGCCAGTGGGTCACTTTAAAGCTGATCCCAGACTCTATAATAATGATGGCAGTGAAATCTCGTGGTCAGATGGTTGAGTGAGCGAAGGGAAAAGGATCCTTACTCTTACGTTGAGATTAATTCACTTTTTGTTTATTTTTCAGTTTTAAATATTTAAAAAACTAAAATGATTGTGCATAATATTTAAGATATTAAGTTTAAAATTATTGTTAATATTTACAGTAGATTTATTAGCAGAATAAATATTTATTTATAACGTTCATCTAAAGTTTTAAAGTTGTTGTTGTCAATCAGATTTAATTGTTTTAATTAAAAGCCTCATTTGAAAGTTTTCTTAATTTACAATTTGATTAAAAGAGATTTCTGCGATTTCCTCTAAGGCCTATAAATTTCCGAAATTAAGGCCCAATCAACACGCCGCCTCGCCTCGCCGATTAAACTAGGGAAGTTGAACTTTTGGCCAGGCCAAAATGCGGCATCATTAAGTCATGTGAGAAATGGAGACAACTGTACGTGATTCGGAGTTGGTGGCATTGCCCAAATTAGCATTTTAAACACCTCTTACTTTTTTTTGGTCTGATGATGTGGCGCACATGGAAAGCGAAATCGAAAACCAAAAGCGAAACTGTCCCATTTGGCTTTTTAGCCGGCCACCTTCGATTCTGGCCATTCGTCCTGCCATTTGCCATCTGCCAGGCGGACGCGTGTGCCGCCATTTATGGCCAGTTGAGTTGGCCACATTTTGGCTATCAGCAGACAACCAAATCGAAATCGAAGTCGCTTGAGCGGGAGACTTTTGGCTTCCTCACTTTATATGGCCTCCTCGTCGGGCCGAAACTTTCAATTAACACAAGTCGCATCCTCAGTCGAAGCCTCGTTCGTTTTTCACGCTTCATGACCAAGTTTGGCTTTGCATTTTGGCCTGACCAGCGAAAAGACTGAAAAGACCCAGCCACATTAATTGCCGAACGGTACAGGATTTGTGCGGTCCGCGTTATTAACACCAAATTAATCAAAACAAGCGTTTGACAGCTGAGTGATTTGTGTCCGCTCCGTCCGGAGTTGTGAATTAAACTTTGGCGCCACAGCCCCGTCGGTTCGGTTTGGTTTGGCTTTGGATTTTTCTAATTATGCCGCCGCCTGGTTGCCAAAGGCTGAAGGCCCGGACCCACTCCCACTTCTCGCATACTCGTTTATGGCCAACAAAAGTCGGCGCTCGGCAAGTGGAAATCTCGTTAAAGACCAACTCAAATCGGGTTCGATGCTAGTCGGCTATTTGGCTTTGATCTCTGGCGACTGTGGAAGTCTCTTACAAACGCGTGCCGCCGGCAATAAGCAGCATTTTGCAGTCGCGATCATGGCAGTTTTGTATCTAAGTGTACAGTAAATATTTCACATTATAAATGTGATTTTAATTATATATTCATTTGATTAAAAATACCAGTGATGGGTATTTTGTTTTATCGATGATCATCTGTATTTAACATTTTATTTGCATTTGCTGGCAGAAAAGTCATATAAGTTAATCCAAGGATTAATAGTTATTAAAATATTTAGTATTTATCTTTTGTTAAAATAATAATGTTTCTACAATTTTAAAGATTTCACCATATTAAAAATATTAAAATATTATTAGCACAAAAACATTTAAATATTTTAAGATTTCATCAAGACAAAATCCATCTTTGTTATAAATTAATTCGACATTTTCTGAGTGGTTTGTATTTCCACTGCTACATTAGCGCTCGGCACGCCCATAAATCTTCAGCGGCAAATTGAAACCGCTGATTGAGTGAATGAGTGAGTGAATGAATGAGTGATTGAATAGGCGGGCAGCTGGGTAACTGATTGTGATTGTAGCGACTGAGCGGCGAAGAGCGATGCATGTGATTAAAAAAGCGCTGCCATAATTTGGCTTTAATTGGCTTGACGCGTCGCGTGCTGCCGTCGTTGAAGTACGTATATATGGCTATAGCCGTAGCTATAAGGCCGGGACTCGAGCGGAACTCGGTGGGTGTTGTTGTGTGCCACATATTAAGCAAACATGAGCATAATGGCAATTTACACACATGCACACAGCCGGCCACGCGCGAATACATTCGCAAGTGTATACGTATATATGGGGGCCCAATTAACATGACATGTCGTACGCGTTGGCCTGATTGGGACCGAGAATTAAATTCGAGTGGGGAGATTTCGGAGGGTGGTGGCGGTGACGGATCCAGATCACGGGGACTCAATCCCACGGCCCCGGGATACACGGCGATTGCATTAACCACAAACTGCCGAAGCTCGATGCTGCAGGTGGAAGGACAGAAATTTAAAGGGGATCGAAAACTTCCTGAAAAGTACCCTGGAATAAGGTAGGAAAATTATGAAAGGAGAGTTAAATATATTAAAATATTTAAAGAGGGTCAGAAACATCACAACAAATTTCCCTGAATAAGGCAAGAAAATTGTAAAAAGAAGGTTAACCAAAATCAAAAAAAACAAGAAAGGAAGCTAGCTTCGGCAAACCGAAGCTTATATACCCTTGCAGATCATTCTAATAATTTACAAATCGCAAAAATGTTAAATTTCTTATTATTTCACATTAATTTTTCGATCGTTTCTATCACAGCTATATGATATAGTAATTCGATCTTTTAAAAATTAAAATCGAAATTCGGAAATATTTCAAAATAGTCATATCCCAGAGAAGAAGGGAATGTAATAAAAACCAACAAAGATATGATTTTTTCCCATTAATTTCCATTTAATTTTTCGACCGTTCCTATGGCAGCTATATGATATAGTGATCCGATTTAAAAAACAAAAAAACCGAAATTCATAAATATATAAAAAAAAATGTTCCCAAGAGTAGAAGGTAAAATTTTTAAAAAACACCGGAGCTAGAATTTTTTTACGTTTTTTTTTTTGATCCTTCCTATGGGAGCTATAAGATATAGTTGTCCGATCCGGTTGGTTCCGACATATATACTACCTGCAATAGAAATACGACTTCTACGAAAGTTTCATCCCGATAGCTTTAAAATTGAGAGACTAGTTTGCGTAGAAACGGACGGACAGACGGACGGACAGACGGACGGACAGACGGACGGACAGACGGACGGACAGACGGACGGACAGACGGACATGGCTAGATCGACTCGTCTTGTGATGCTGATCAAGAATATATATACTTTATGGGGTCGGAAATGTCTCCTTCACTGCGTTGCAAACTTCTGACTGAAATCATAATACCCTCTGCAAGGGTATAAATATATAAAATGTATTCAGTAAAGAATTTTAATATTCCAATAAATTTATAAAACGCTTTAATTATTTAAATATACAAATTTTCAGTTTTTCCAAGTACATTATAGTCTTAACATTTTGTGGCCACTGTGGCTCCTTGGCTGTTTAAAAATTCTGTGCGTGACAACTGGGAGGAGCTGGCGTTGCAGCGAAAGGCGAGGCTATAACTTAGTGACTGCTTTAATTTTAATTATTGCGATTTGTGTGCAAAGCCCCCCTCCCCGCCGCCACTTCCCTTCCCCCAACCATGATTCCTGGTGGCAGCCTGACTAATTTGCCAACAACATGACACCAACTTGAGCGGCTCTGAACCGCCTGATTAAGTCGAAACACTCAACCCGGGGTTGATGTTGCTGCTGTTGGTGTTGCTGTTGCTGCTGTTGTTACTGCTGCTGCCGTTGGTGTTGCACATAGCCGTCGTTTTGGTTTTTGGCATGCGCCTGCGTTAATTAAGCTGCAGCGGAGCTCTGGAGCTACGAACGCAGCTGCGTGTCGCGCGGTCGTCTGGTAATCTCCGCGGATTAAGCCGACACTCCGCTCCAAGAGTCATGTGGCTCTTTTCGGGCTTGTTAACAATATTTCGACTTGTTTGGCCCGACTGGTTGGCATCAAACACGCGGCCTGCGGTCAAGTGGCTGCCAGAAGTCACCAAGGAGCACTTTACCTCACGCCCACGCAAGAAAAGCAATAAAATATATACTTATTTTCGAAACAAATATTAAACAAATTGAAAATTAAATTAAAATAAATAGTAAACGGATTCACAGATCAAGATTTATTTTATTAGCCAAAAATGTAACTCTGATTTTTTGTGATCTATGATTTATGTAATTTTATTTTATCCTGATATTAATCAAAAATTCTAGGCTATACCGAGCTGTACCTTAGAATTCGACGGCTTCTTGGATGAGTCTTTCGGTTCCCGCTGAGCTCTCCATAGAGCCCACTACATATTTTCCAATGCTGGCCAGACCGTTTGCCTTAATGGTTATAGGGCGAACAAAATATCAAAATAAAAACTAAATACTTATTAAGTCGCAATTACCTTGCAACGCTTGATGAGCTCGTTTTGAGCATGGCTGATCTGCTCCTTCTTGCCACCCCAAGTCCTGAGAATAGAGGTCTGCAGAGCCCGATCGAAGGCGAAACTCATGGCCCATGGTTTGCAGAGTGGGACATTGTTGATGGCATTCAAGTTGACCGAGGCCTCCTCCTCCGATTGGGCGCCACTGCAGAAGAGGACTCCTGCAAAGATAAGAAATAATTATAGAAACATTTTTAAACATAATATATTAATCCCCACCCATAACTGCGGGGGGAACCGTTCGCCTGATGGAGAGAACCGTGGCCATTCCAATGTCCGATGGTGGATGGTTTTTATTACTCTGCAAACCGGGCATCACCATGCTGGGCTGCAGCAGTGTTCCCTCGAGGAAGACGTGGTGATCACTGAGCGCCTTATACACGCCGGCCAGGAGAATTTCGTTGACCTTCTGGCAGCGATCGAGGTCATGGTCTCCGGTGGCCAGGACCTCGGGACTGATGATGGGCACTAGGCGCTGCGACTGGCAGATGGCCGCATAGCGGGCCATCACATTAGCATTTTCCAAAATGGCCTGCGGCGATGGAGTGTTCTTGGTGATCTTCAGGATACATCGCCACTTGGCGAAGCTGCAACCCTCCTTTTTGTACTGGGCACACCGATTGGCCAGGTCGTCCAGTCCCTGGGTGGTGAACTCATCCTCGGAGCCGAAAAGTGGCGAGAAGTGCTTGTCCACCTTGATTCCCGTGAGGATGCCCTTCTTCCTTAGGGCCTCCACAAATGGCAACCCATCATCCGTTCGCTGATGCAACGTTTCGTGGTAGAAAATTACTCCGGATATATTCTCCGATATCTTGGGATCGGTGGTGAACAACATTTGCCGATATATCCGGCGATTCTCCTCCGTGTTCTCCACCCCAATCAACTGGAATCGCTTGCCCATCACTGCACTCGACTCATCCGCAGCCAGAATGCCTTTTCCCGGTGCCACCAATGCCTTAGAAATGCAGGTCAGCTCTTCCTGCAGCTCCTTGTTCGGGTAGTAAAAGTGTGTCGTCATCTTGGTGAACCCTAAATTTTGATTTCTCGAAAGGTGTTATTGGAAGCAAAGCAAGAGCTGCTAAGGGGAATTTTTTTGAAATTTTTAAATGTGTGATGGAAAAATCATGGGAAGTGCAAATAAATATAAATTTGTCTTGACATAAAATCGAACCTTTTTTATAAAATATAAAAATACTATAATTCTTTTAACAATTTTTATAAATATATTATTTATAAATATGTATTGGGTATTTATTAAAAATTATATTTCCTTCGTTTGTTCTTTACAAATATTTTATACTTGAACTTGAAACCAAACATCATTCCAAAATTAATTTCTCAAACGCCTTCCATTTAGTCCTTTTTATTGACCAATTATTTAGATATTTTCAAATCGAGATGGCACATTTTGATTTACGGCGATACTTGAATACTACCTGACCATTTAGCACTCGCCTTCGTCTAATGACATTCTAATTAGACTTTTAATTGCTTTGGCAGAGCGTGCGGGAGTCAGAAACTTCAGGAGGCCGAGATTAGAGGGGAAGATTAACCGCTGGAAGAATAAACTTGCCCCACATTAATTATATCTGACCGCACCGACAATTTTGCGTTTTATGAGTTTCACTTTGGACATTTTATGGCAAAAGTTTTGTTAACACAAATTATAAGCGGAAGCCGTGAGCTGTGTCATAAAAATAAAATAAAAAGGCAGGCGATACAAAGTGGAATAAAGGTGATGTTCAAATTTTGCGAACCATTAGCCGGGGCGTAAATTGAATTTTCCAATTTTCTCTTGCAATTATCCGACAGACCTCGAAGTCCACTCGAAATTCAATTGAACTCAACTCGCTTTGGCCGACTAATTCTAATTGGCGTGGGAAACGCATCAAGAGTGCTCCAATAGCTTTAAATGGTCCGCTGGCTAGACAGTTGCCTAATTTTGTGTAAATTATCGCACGAATTATGAGGCTCGTACGTGAAATTCTCCAAAAATAGCCAAGACAGCTTAAAACACATCGCAAAAATTAAGTACGATAAATATCAAACAACACGGCTCGCAGTTAACAATTGCATCGCATTTTGGATTGTGTGTCTGTTTTTTTTCTCGCTTTTTTGTGCTTTTCCGATTCGATCCGACACCGTCATCAATATTCAAGTTTAGATCCCCCAATTAGGCCAGAGGCAAGACGCCGGATCGGATCGGGTCCGCCGAGCCTAATCGCGCAGCCAATAAATATGATCAACTGCGAAAATCTAGCGAAAATCCTCGACTTCGGTTCGAGCTCAGCCAGCCGAGATGTCTTTGCACCTAATTGAGCGTGGAGCGGCTGAGTCAGCCGGTTGGTAACCAGCAGTTACTCGAAAAGTGGCTGGAAAATTATTAATTGATTATCTATAAACGTTTTAATTGAAAACTGCGAGGAAACCTTATTGAGGCAACGAAAATTAGATGCCCTATGTATGGGAAACATTCGATTGAGGCCTCGAAGTTGAATAACACAATTTAAAAACCTTTTTAAAACTGTTATTATTTTAATAATAATTTGTTGATTAATTTATCTTTCGAATATAATTTTTCCTAAATTTATTCTGATCTTTATTTCATTATATTAATAAATCAATTATTTTGAGTTAACAGTAATTGGACTTAATTGTGCTAAAAATTATGCTGTCAAATAAATAGTATTTTAATTCTCTATAAATCTTTAATAGCAAAACGTTAGCAATAATGTTGAATGTGGATATTAAATTAGTGTATTGATATTACTTTAAATGTAACCTCCTCAAGCTCCATTTCCTCAAACTATTCATAGACCTCTGCACAGTTTCATCCTGTTACAAAGTTTCGATAATTGGCTTTTTATTGTCTTTGGCTCTTTACTTCTGCCAAACTCCAGGCAATGATCATTACCAGCCAGTAATACCCATCGGATTGGTTAGGGAATCCGATGGACAGCCACTTGGCTCCTGTCTTTTCAATATTAAATTGGCCGCTGGTCAGCGTTTAGTCAGTCAGGCGTAATTATTGTTATTACCAAATTAAGTAGCCAATTTTTTCATCGTTTTTTCCGACTCTTTATCAGACTGAAGCCACTGTAATCCGGCAACTACTTTAGTAGTTTTTTTTTCGATTTTGTGTGTGCGTGGGGGCGACTAAGAAGTGGGCGGGGGGACTTACTCACGCTCTTGGTGCAATTTTTTTACGATTTTGGATTTTCAATTTTGAGCACAAAGTCGTTTTGACCAAAAACCATACGCAGACATCATTTTCAAGGAAAATCTCTTCATTTTTAATGTGTGCCTGCCTCGCATATGTTGCACACACACTTTTGGTAAGTCAAAAAAAACTATAGACCGAAATATAAGAAGGAAAATCAATAAAATAAAGAGAAGGAGGCAAGTTGGCCAGCGCTAAATCGACTGAGATTAAATCGAGCGCACATAATCATATTTAGCTTTTTGGCCACATCGTTCGTGGATGTCAACTGCAGGCCACGGCTCGCTATTGTCGTGGATCGTGCTTCTATATCCCCCTCCCCCTCTATAAACTGCAGTTTTGGCCAGAAACAATGGCCAAACAGGCGCCAGCCACCATCTATGAATTAATCACGTTCATAATTTCGCTATCGCGTTGCGTTCGCTTGTTGTTCATAATTTCTTGTGTACGTATCTCATTTTGGCCATTCGGCTATTGTGCTTAATTTGCCTAAAAAAGGATTTGGGATAGAGGATAGAGAGAGTCGTCTTTTGGAGCCGTATTGTTGCATAATTAGGCACACGGCCCGGGGTGTTTGCTTTGGCATTTCTTGGCGCGAAAAGGCTTGTGTGTGGTCATGTTGTAACAAACCATTGTGTTGCCGATTTGCCACTGCATCTGCATTGTTCGATATGGAAATGAGTGTTGCTCCGTGGGCTCGGACAGGGATTTATGATTGGGGCCAGGCATGAATTGGTGTCTTGTAGGTGGCCAAGCACTTTCTGCATAATTTCGATTGCCGACATCCATCCTTGTTGTGGAAACGGCAAAGGAATTGTACATAAATTTAATAGCTAACTTGTTGGGAAAATCTCAATAAATATCTGATTTATTTTTACTTAGATGTTTTTAAATGCAAAAAGAGGAAAGTTTCATTCAGTCTCAAAATATTAAAAAATTCTAAATACCTTTTATTTTTTCCAACGTATTTAAATTATTAAATTTAAAAACCTATTACATTGTCTGTTTTATCTTTAGAATAAGTTTTATTTAAATGTTTACATACTAGAACTTTTAAAGAATTGGTTAATACTTATTGAAAATAATTATATTTTTTCCTTTTTTTAAATCTTTTTACATTAAACGTATCAGCTTTGTATACATTTTAGCTAAGCTTATCGAATTTATTCCCCCATAACACACACTTTAGTGGTTCTTTAAAATTTGTGTTCATAAAGACCTCCGATTGAAATTCCAGCCGCACGATCTGACAGACAGGACACGTGCCAAACACATATACTCCAATATCTAAATCTTAATAATAATAATATACTATGTGTATATACACTTGTCTACCAAACATGTCAGACAGCGACGGCTGAAGGCCCATTTGGTGAAATCTTCATTAAATCAACTTCCAGGCGATTGCACAGAGGACCAAAGTTTACGACCCGAAAAAAAGTGTGTTTTTGTTTTCGTTTTTGTTTTCGCCTCTTCAGTTTTCATTAAAATTTACGCATTATCGCATAAGCACTTGGGCGGGGTTTTTGGCCAATTTTTACCAATTAACGGCGGCCCAATCTCACGTACATCGGCCATGCGTTTGTCGCGTTTACCGTCTGTGGGCCAAAGTGGGGCGGCTCGGCCATGTAAAATGGCCAACTTGGGCGGCAGTTTCAATTTCGCGCCGGATTTTTTTATGGGCCTACGGGCTGTGTGCAGTGTGTTTGCCATATCGCGCCCGGCGCATATCAGTCGTTAAAAATGCCTCACATAATTTCGCTTATGTGCGTGCGACATTTAGCACCGACAATGGAATGGCTGCAGGAGTCAAAAAAGGAGCAGCAGGACAAGGAGGAATTTGCAGCAGGATCCATGAAGTGTCCATGGAACAGGCACTCGGTTTGGAGGTGGACTCAAGAGGCGTTGGTCCCGGCCCAATAACAATTATTTTTAAACTGTGTGCTGAACAAACAGGCGAAGGGGAATTGCACGAACAGTGGCCACAAATCGAGGAAAAAAAAGTGTGTGTTAAGTAAAATGGGAGAGCAATTTATTAAAATATTTTAAAGAAATTTAAATTCTGTTGAAAACTGAGAACTCACTTTTTTTTAGCTTAATAAAATCTTATTTATCTTTGCTAAGCATTTATAAAGAAAAGTCTATGGAACTTAGTTATTCCATATTAAAATTTCGTACACATTAAGAGAGCTGTTGATACTTAATAGAAAATCAAAATACATGCATTATTTAAATGAATTGTTACTAGAAGCTAACAATTTTTTTTGTTTTCAGTTTTCTGCCTGCTAATAACCATTGTGCCAGCCAACGCAGTCCGTCCTGAAAGGTTAAATGCTTCACACTCAATAATTTAAAAGTGCTGTTCCCGGTAATGCGCTCAAAAATAAAAATTAAAAACCTTTTTGGCTTGGCATGCAGTGCGTATGCGTAATGCCTAGAGGTATTTGTGTGCGCGGTATGCCAAACATTTGCGCGGCGTTTCTGTGAGAGCCATAACCTTGCCAGTTAGCAGTCACCTGGTAATTGCTATCGGCGTTGGCGTTCAACTTGCTTCGAACTTGAGGTGGATGCACTGTAAAAATAGGAATATATTTTTTCAATATTATCTAGAAATTTTATTAGCCCTAAAAAGAAAATATAAGCTGAAAAATATAACTTATTCGTTTAAAAAAAAATGGTAACCTACAAATTTTTTTAATCACAAATACATTTCAAGTTTTAATAATATTATTGTCTTAATGTTTAATTAATCTTTATTAATGTAAGTATTACTCAATTTTTTTCTTGTGTATAAAATTGGATGTGAACGATATCGTTGGCGTTGGCGTGGCGCACGTTTTGATTTGCAG